TATGAAAAATACTTGTGCAATATTTTAGTTCACAGAGAAAATGTAGTAAAAATTATCACAAAATTTTGTAATGCTGCACCGGAATTATTACTGAAATTATTATTCGTGTTGTAATCTTTAGTGATATGTACACATGAAACATATCAGGTTAGATCACTATCACTAAAGATTACAACACACATCATAATTTCTGTCATAAATCTAGTATGGTCCATCATCACAAAATTGTGTGGTAATTTTTGCTACAATATTTTCTCCGTGTACAAATAGATAATCAAGTCTAAATACGGATGATCATTCGCAGACCTAGACATGATAGAATAGAATTCGTTCGTGAATATAAGAAAGAATGCCAGTAGATAGTACTGTGTACATAAAGTGAGCTAGAAAGTACCTGTAAAAATTCAACATCTAATCAATTCAAATTATCATGTTTCGAAGCAAGCTCCGAGGACAACGCGGCGCGTCTTTTATTATTACGTCGCGACGACAAAAATTAATCCCCAGCCTTTTCGCCTGCCGTAGGAGCAATAAATCGCCGATTTCACGGACACGTGTCTCGCGGGAGCCCACAGAGACCGCAGTGGATTACGAGACACTCCCGCCCCGTTGCGAGAGGCGGTTGGGAAATTAGTTTCCGGGCTTAATGGAGTTCCGCGGAGTGCGAAAGATGGGCGCACCTCCGAGGCGACGACTACCGGCCAAAGTTTTCGCAACTTTCGCAATTTTTTCAATTAGCCGCGATTTTTCAGCGACGCGACGGCGCGCGCCGCGCTAAAAAACTAAGGACAGGGACGCATCGCATCCCTTGGAGGTGATGGCGGTGGCAGCCTGTTTGTCCGACTTCTCTCTCTCTCTCTCTCTCTCTACTTCGAAATTCTGTGGTAACGATGTTACGCGTATATTGGGAAAGTCAAGCGACGTTATGAAAGTCTTAGGCGACTCGTGCAAACTTCTTTACTCGGGGAATCTGTGAGTCCCCGAGATATCCATTCTTCTCGCCGACAATGCCCTTTCCGTCATTAATGGGCCGCATTGTGTGCGGCCTGTATCACGAGCCGATGAAACGCGGCGAATGCGCCTCTGCGGCGGAGGCGGCAGCGTCCGTGACGGCTACTTCCTGCCGACTTCCGGTTTGATCGCATCGATGATTTACGAGCTTCGAAAGGGGCTAAAAGAGCCGAAATGGCGCAGTCATTTCTGCAAATCTGCTCGAGGGAAACTCACGTGCAAGTTGATAGCCCGCTAAGATGTATTTATATACGTTTTATCGCTGTTATTCGATGTCATTCGAAATCCGTATGTCTATTTGGATTTTTCAAGGAGGAGAGCTACGTGATGATGTCTCGTGTGACAATTATCGCGCGTAAGTAGGGGAAATCGGGGCAGATTAGGTTTTCAGAATTTCAGTGTTAAAACTTTTCAGAAAGACTAATTGTTGCGATCGACTAAACAACGATAATAGCGACAACCTTCCTCTAGGTTCTTATACTACCAAAGACCCTCTAATCTATATAGTTTCGTCTGTAATAACCAAAATACCAATATGGAGCATTTATGTACCCCGGTATCGGAGTAAATTCGAAATCAGTTCGAGACAGCTTTCAACATTATATATAATAAATATGATTGTGCAATGTATATACTGTTAAATCTATTTAATAATAAATGACAGATTATTTGTAACATATTGTTGATAGTTAGAATATAGAATTTTGTTTGTTTTCTAATTAAATTATTCAGTGCTTGCCAAAATGTAATCTCCAGGGCTTTGTCTAATATAAACAATCTCATTCATGCAGTCTTCAACGAGACTGGCAACAATTCTACTGTTCATTACATTAATTAATTGACTGTGCATTTGGTACAAATATTTTAAAACAATACAAATATCTATAAAGGTATTTATTGGTTTTAACTTCTGTACCAACATGCAATAGACAATAGGTTACAAAGCACATTTCCGATAGCCTGTTGACATGCACGAAAATCAGCTGCACTCGTGCAGCGCTTCGCATTGAATTAACCCAATTTCCCAACCTGCTCTATTCATTCATTTCTTTCATTTCAATGATTTTATTAATGAACATTATGTTTGTTACGCTAAATAGTATATCACACAGCTGTAGAAAACTTCATTCTAATTATACGTTATTTAGGTTTATTCCGTCACAATAGAGAGTATTAGGAGAAAATTTCGAAACGCTCGAAAATTTATTCAGCTAGCCTCAAAATAGATTTTTCGTTTTATTTTGTTTTGTAATATTTTCCCAATTTTAAGGAAAATTGGAGACAAATATTTATGTTCTAAAAGGAACATTTTAAGATTCCTTTTGCATTCTTTTTTTCACAATAAATATATAAATGCTTTACCAACCTGCCCCTTATTCCAAACTGTCTCGGTCTCTCTTATTAAAGCTGTTAATCTTCGACAATTTTGGAGCTTCAAAACTTCAAAGAAAACTTCAAACTTTCGAATGATGATAAGGCAAAACTTCAAAAGTTTGCTTTCAAAGAATCCAAATCTTCAAAGTTTCGAAACTTTGAAAAATACAATCTTGCGAATGCTGTAAACTAATAATATAAGCATATTTTATTCAGGGAATATTGAAAAATTTTGTAAATGAACTTTTGTAAGTGAATGGACTGTTACGGTGTCAAATCTTAGGATTCCGACGTTTCGAAGCTTCGATATTTTCGAAATTTGAGTAATGAACACCGAAGAACACCGAAGAAGCTTCGAATCTTCGAAAATTCTTAATTCGAATATCAGAGCCTTCGAACGAAACACTAGTCCTAATAAATATTGGCGATCGCGAATACGTATTTGAAAATCGCTGAACGGGTTGCGACGCTCTCGCAAAGCGATAGCGGAACGGCACGAGACAGGGCGGAACGGAGGGCGGATTGCACAAGGGAGACAATTTATCGCGTCCAAGCCGATAAGTCGGCGTGGGTTAGATCAACTGGAACGAGGGGAAAATTTTATAAACTCTCCCGAGTCAGTTTCAGCAGCGGGAAAAAAGCTCCGTTCGTTCGCTCGTTCCTTCGTTCGTTCGTTCGTTCGTTCGTTTGTTCGAAGGCAAACGGGTCGTGAGCGTAGACGGCTTATTGAAGGCCGGCGGGACAAATGAAATCGGAAAATCCTACCGTGAAATAGAATAATCTGAAACTGGCGTAGTGCGTGGCGCTGCCTACTTCTCTCCCTTTCTCTCTCTCTCCCCCTCTCTCATTCGCTCTCTTTCGCGAACACTTAATATCCGCGACGTTTCAATATCGGATGGGACACGGTGGCTTCGTTAGTTAAAGAGGCAAGAACGAAGCTCCCCTTTTACCGCGCGCGACTCGACGATTAATTTTCGAGCAGTGTCGGAGCCGCCGTTTATCCGCGCTTCGTTCCGCGTTCGCGGGAACCGGAGAGTCGCGCGGAATCGATAACGATATGATGATACGGCACTAACGAGACACCGAGAGACGGAGGCGAGGTGTCGCGTCTTCTAGAAACAAGGAGGACGAAGAGAAGATCCGAGATTTCATCCGGAGCGATTTAGACTATGAATTCGACGAGAGACACCCGATGAGGAGACGTCACTAATTGGAGACGGAGAGATAAATCTCGTGATAATGAATGTCACGTCGGTTCGGCTTCGCGCGAACGGCTACGCGAACGGTCCCGCTCGCCTTGTTCCACCTCGCCATCGGGATATCCCAAAAGATACGAAGTTCTCGCCGCCGCTCGGCGATCGCGATTAAACTGCGCGAAACGTCGAGGGGATTACGCGGCAACGCGCTGCACGTAGAACGACGGAGGGATGTTCAAGGGACATCGCCGAGAGACGTTCGCGAGACACCGCGGTTTCCCCGAGACGACGTTCTCTTCAGACGTTTTTCTTCCGGCGGAAGCAGGCTGGATTTGGATTTGCCACGCTTCGAGCGGGAGTGAAAGTGCGAATCCCGCATTTTTCCAAGCGCCCGCGTGCACGAGAATCTCCAGTAGCAAAACTCCAGCGCGGAGACGAAATTCGCGCATATTCGACGGCGCAGGAAGGACATTGTCGGCGGAGAGAAGAGCTCCGCAATCGTCGATCTCACACACGACGTGTCGCGTGTCCGTGTGATCGGACGCGGTGGGTCGATCTCACGAACCGACGAGGAACGGCCGCGTGAATCGCCCCTTCGTCAATACTTTTTTTTTCAGCGGCCTAACGAAGTCTTATTCGTCGGTCGCTTTTTATACCGCGATCTTGAAAGCCCTCGGCTCGAGGCTTTAACGTCGCTCCCGGTCGGCCGATCCGCTTTTGCTACGCCGGCCGCGCGTCACCACCGCCGTCCGTTTCCTCTTAACAGCACGAAAACCCGATATCGCATTTGCATATCGGAAAAGTCGTCGATCCGTCGGAAGGATAAAGTTTCGCTTTATTCGACGTATCGAAGGGAGGAAAGCGAATCGACGTTTTGCTCTTACGGCCCGAGAACCGAGCGACGGGGAACAAGATACCATTAATAGGGTGGAGCGCGGACTGAATTTTCGTCATTATTAATGCAGGCTGCAATGGCCGGTCGATTAATTAACGCGGCTACTGCGGTGTCTAATCATTGTTTAGATTGGGTGTTTCGATGCGCAAACATATGATATGGTGGATAATGGTGAGGGTAAATAGGGGCGCTATTTGCGCTGTAGCATGACTAATTGCGAGTGCGGCGCGACCGGTTCCCGGGCGAGTGCGAGTTGCTCATTTTCTCCGACGGCGAAAAGTTCGTCTCTTCGTCGTCTGTGTGCCGTCGTACTCGCAAAGTTGCGAGATGTGCGAACGAAGCGTTGTTCGTGAACGACGCCGATGTGGGACGTGAAAAAAGTACACGTTGAGCGATGTGCTAAATTAATTAGAGGTTAGCGGGGAAGGAATTGAGAGTTGAGAGTTTTGCGTCCCCAGTTAATTCACGGACTTGAAATATCGCGTAATGATGCGATTGTTCGCTTCTTCTTTGTATGTTCGCAGAGTTTTTAACTGAGAATGCGCGATGACGCAGCGAGTTTACCCGTGGTCCACGAGCCCCCGCGAGGCGTCTCAGGATACTCCAATGGTGACCTTCAAATCAAATTGTCACCCCCACACAAAGATCCTATCGAGGTGTAAGTATTAATGTCATCCGAGTGTGTTCGTGTTCGCTTGTTCGACGATTATTACACGGAAGAAAAGTTTGGCTGAACTTACCAGATAGTGAAACGAACCTAGCCGTTTTGATTGAAGGGGACAAAATTTCTAGTTGTAAGAACCGAATTCGGGTCTAGAATAAGAACTAGAAATTCTGTTCCCTTCAATTAAAACGCGTCTTATTCGTTCACTGTTTGATAAATTCAATAAAACTTTTCTCTCGTGTAGCTTTACAATGAGTCTCGCTGTGTTGTTCTATGAAGAGGATATGCGATTGTAATATTAACTTAACTGGGTTTGAACGAGCTTTTAACAACGATTCGCTTTTTCTCCTCAACTATACGTACAGTTGTCTTTAATATAAACGGGAGGAAGGATAAAAGTGTTATTGAATTGTTACGAAAATATTCGAGAAATTAATCGTGAGAACCGAATTTTCTCACGACTTCCAACCATTAAAACCCGATAAAGTGTCATTCGATTTGCATAGCGCGTGATATGAATCGCTTCGAGTGACTTGAGTCAGGTGGCTTATAACGGAACCAGTCTTTGGCTTTGTGTGTCTGCCGGCTACAATGTTTGCACACGTGTATATAATCTCGATTACTTGACCTAATCGCGATTAGTGTAATATCAAGTTATCAACATGACTGCCTGTATCTAACTGTAAGAATGTGTCTGATTATCAATCGCAATATCATAATAACGTTTATGATTCTCCGATATGAAAAAAATGCGATCTCAATCAAGATCGGATATCAGTCAGAACATTGAGTAATTATTGTTGATAAGTAAGGAATGCATTACGGCATAAAATAAATGTCATTTTGCGTGACACTTTGGACGGACATTTGGAATTATTTTCAGATTTAGGAACGCATGTAAAGTATCCTGGATTATTATACTTTCCATTACGGCCATGTAAATGACAATTGAATTATGGTACACCAGAATGATTTTCTTTAAAGTTAACTTTAGTTACGTAAACTTCGCATTCAGTGCGAACAGCCAACCGTATACTTCTAGGATAACGACATCGCGTAGGGAAAAGTTTTCATTGATACTAGCAGTTTTACCATCCACATTTGCGAAGGAATGGACTAATATATCCAACGAGTGCGACTTCCGTGAGGGGTTGGATCTCATTTGAACTCCGCGATAAAAGTAGTCCACGAATTATTCAATTAACTTACGGTTTGCCAAGTAAATGTATTAAGAGGTACTAAATGTCTCACTTGAAATTCTGCGAGAGGACTGGCATTCGTTCTGCTACCTTCTCGAGAGTCGCGACTAAGAAAGTTTCCCGGGGAGGCGATCGGTTACAGAACGACGTCCTGTAAAATATAGGGGGCCGTGCAGTGCTGTAGGAAACCACGTCGGAATCGGAGTTGCGAACCAGACATGCACATAGTATCTTGCGTGTGTATTGTCAAGATATTCATTTGTCCGCGCAAGATTATAAAGTACTTGCAAGAGGGGACATACTCTTCTGTGAATATAACGCGATAATAATCTGATTATGTCTTATATCTTCTGAGAAGCCCTCGTGTTAAAGATTGAAAAAGCGAAAATATTATGTCATATTAAATCACGGTAGAAGAAGACTTAATTAAAATCTAAATGTAATTATACACGAAAAATATCTCAGTTCCCCTAATTGAACAGGAACCAGATGAAAACTGAGTGATAAGAAACGGTGTCTTGTTACACTGTTAATCATGAATCACCAAAGTTCGAGGTATTTATTGAAATAAAAACCCTACGCGTAATATGAGGGACATTTAGTTAATACTTCGAATTTGGAAATATTTTGTGATAGAACCTCCAAATTTTTGGACACTACGCGACAGTAGATCTCCAAATTCAAGGTATTAATCTCAAAATATCCTTCATAATTACGTAGGGTTTTTATTTTAACGTATACCTCCAACTTTAATGATACATGATTGACAGTATAATAAAGACATTATTTTTTGTCATTAAGTGACTAAGAAGATTCGTGTGTGCATTCATTTGCGTTAAGACCTGGTTGAGATAACTGGGGGCAATATTGAGTAGGAACCTTTTACTGGAATCTCTCTGTTTTTACAACCGTGTTTTCGTCTGGTTTATAGGCAACAGAAAATTCAGCCACACCAACGGAATTATTTTTTCCGCGTAGGTGTGCGCGGGAATATTTAAAGAAGCTTTATATAAATTCCATCGAGAACAATGAGAAATATCGATGAACGCCAGACGTTTCGATCGACAACAGACGTAATTCGGTCTCTCGGAAAAATGATAAGGGATTCGCTTGTAAAATTTCCCGTACCCATCAAGCGCGACAGGATTTCTCACGATTTCGCGCGTAATCGCTCGTCGTCGGCGAATTTTCCACGAGGATGACTGTACCCGTCGCGTTCGAGCGCTACGGCACTGTTATTACTTCAGGTGGCAAAGCTTCCTATATTCCACGTCGATCGTAGATTTGTCGGAGGAGTTTCTAACAGCAATTACGCCGCTAATGGAGCCCCCGCGGAGAGATGCCGGCCGACTTTCGCCAAAGTCTCTCATCCAGGACTACTCTGCGGGCTCTGGGCTTTGCGACGACGTCGAAACTTCCCGTAGATCCCGTTTTTGCCGGGCGCTCGCTGAGTTACCGGAAGCTCCGTACGTCCTCGTTGATCTTTAAATTGCCGATTTACGAAGGTCCCAACATTCGATTTACGATTTCCGGCAAATCGCAACTCCGCCGTGCCATTTGCCGAATAATTTCCCCGAGACGGTGGAATCGGCAGTCGGGTCAATTACGATCCACCGGACTGGTCGGTCACCATGCGCTCCAAAATCGTTACCATTCTCTTTAATGGAAAGTATAACAATCCAGCCACGTAGACATACAATACGCAACATGGCGTAAAAGAAATGCTAGTATTATGGAATACTCCAAGGTTTTCTTAAGATAAATCGAAAACTATTAAAGATAATTGAAATTAGTTTTTCCTGAGTTGTAATACTAAATATTTTTTATAATATGTTTCTCTAACGGACTTCGTTTGTCTATAGTGAATTTATTAATTTTCTCGAGGGTAAAAGGTTAGGATTTTGGAAGGTTAATATGGAATAAGTCGGGCAAAACGGAATATCTGATTTATCTTGCAAAAAAGTAACTTTTCTCGTACTTCAATGAATATTAATATTGGTCGAATAGTCTATAATAATTATTATATATTTATTATATCATCATCTATTATAAACTTATATTTTTATACTTTGTTATAATAATATTATAATGGCGTACAAATATATGTAACATATTATCATATTAGTTTCATTTTATTATTTATACGTTTTTTAACGACGTCATCTACACGTTTCTTTGGCATCCTGAAAGAAAGATATAATAGAATATAACTTACAATACTTATATATAAAAAGTTACGAGGAATATGGACTACTCCGTAATACCCGACATTATTATTTTTATCTTTTTATCGTACATAATGAAAATGTACATTATATAATATCTGCAGTATAGCCTACATTAAAATTACATCTTAGTTTTACATGTAAAAAAAGGCAATTAAGAATCTGTGAAATAGATTGGCTGTTAAATAAAAGTTTAAAAAATCACCCGATGAGTAGCGAGACACAGAAAATCTAAAGTTGGACGTACACACTGCACACAATTTCGTACTAGACTGCCGCTTTGTAGGCCAGATTAAAGATCAACAGCAGCTAATAATTCCACTGCTACCCGCTAAGTTGCGACACCTAACAGGCTAGAAATCGTAGTATTCCATGGTATCACCCACACTTCCTCTACTGCGCATAGAAGCGCTTGGCGACGTAACGATGGACGTTTTAATCTCGGTGTATCGTCGATACTCGAGCTCACGCTTGAGATGAGCCAAATCGCGCGTGATATCTGCTAAAATCGAGAACGAGTCGCGATAGATTATTTACGACACCCGTTGCGCTCGGCAGTTGTTCAGAGATTTTATTGTGATTTGTGTGTACGGTACCTTCGTATGTCTTATTTCAGACACACAACAAGACAAGGAGAAGGATAAACATGAAGCCGAGTACATGCTGCAAGGAAATGGCAAAGCGATGTACGAATGAGCTTGTTACAGATTATGATGTATATCTCGAGACAAATAAAATACGAGACAATAGCGCCACTGGATAATGGATCGTTGCCGCCCGCCGGCTTATTAACGTCTCGATACTGACGGAGCGCGGGAAGCCGCGTAAAACTTTTACAGGCTGTATACGGTTTCGTTCGGGGCAAACGCATGCTTTTTTTACGAGGCTGCTTCGAGGCGCCGTAACTCCTCCGTTCCCTTTACCTGCTTCGTAAAGGCGACTATGTCGCTCGTTTATCGCTCTATTCCTTTGTAGCCGGCCGCGCGCGATTCCGAACGCCATGAAGTAGCCTCCAGCGCGAGGTGGTTCTTAACCCTTCGAGTGGCGAACACATCCCCTTAGGTCCCTTCGTAAAAAATCGCGAGAAGTGCTTTGAGTTCTCGTCGCTTCGTTCGACGAGGAAGATTCTGCGCTACGTTTAGCGTAACAAAGCGCTGGCGCGTACGCTGTAAAACACATTTTGTGCTTATGTTAAAATCGGTCCTTGTTAAAATTTTATGTCAAATTTTTCAACGCACCCGTGTGTCAATTTAACATGTTGCGTTTGTGTTATCTCAATATTTTGCGTTGTTATTGTCAATATTGTGGGTCGATATTCGACATGTGTAAATGTTAAAATAACACTTGTTAATATTAAGAGAACACATTTTATCCTTCAGTGCTGATTAACATATTATGAATATTAATTTTGTGTTCATTATTGACATAATATTTGTGTTACTTTTCAACATATTCGTTAAATTAGCACGAAAATTTGTGTGGACTGTTTGAAACATGTGTGAAATATGTTAAATTTAACACAAAATTTTTCACTACATAAGGGAGGAGGGGATGTCTCGCCAGCCCGGTTAAAAACTACGATTCGCGATTCGAGCGGGCCGCGCGGACAAGCGCACCGGTTAGATCGCACCGTTGAATGTTCGAACCTTAACGGCAGGAATTTTAATTAATGCTCGACCTGTGCGCTTTGTGTCCGCAGGGAATTCGTGCCACCGCAAACAAAAGAGGAGGACAACAAATCGGCCTCGCAGTCGCCATCGCCGCCACCGGTGCCTTACTACAAACTCGTGAGTTTTTCAAGCGAATAATTTACAGGGGGTGGGGGGGGAGGCGTCTTCGAGAGAATTTCAAGCGTGACGGCGCGCCTCCTCCGTATCGCGGAAGGCGATACACTCGAGGTACCTCGAGAGCACACAGGGTGTCCCAGTGCCGAGTTATATTCTCCTCGTTCTTTTTCGCGTTTAGAAGCTCGTGGACGAGAGCGGGGTAGCCCCTGTACCGTGTTTCGAATCCCGATCTTCACTCGCGACTCAAAGAGGCCGTCGACTCGAAAGAGGCGCCTCAGTGTTTCTATTAAGAAGCTAACTGCAAAGAAGCCAATAAAACGACCTGGGCCGGAGGATCTGGGACACCCTATGAGTGCCTTTTCCGCGACGACGCCGCTCTAAACGAAATGGAGCATGCATTCCGAGGGAGGGGGGGGGGGGGGGGTTAAAGCGATTCGTCGCCGCGCCGGTGAAACCGTTACGGATGTTACTTTTCTCTCGATCGTGCCAACCGCCCGGCATTCTCGAATTGCGAGACAGTGATTAACGATGCGCTCCCGTATGATAGATGACAGTTAACGACTCATAGCACGGGACACGTTTCGAATAATTTTCCGCGTTATATCTCTCGATAGAAACCGCGATTCCTTTCGCCCTTCCGCAAACGAGAGCGGACCGCGGGCGATATTTTTTTTCGCGACGACGTAAATTCGAATACGTTTCCTCGGTTCAATTATGATTGTTCTTGCGTAGGTCCGCGCGGTCGCTCGTTAATCATTGTTAGTTGGGATATTAATTTTGCAAGTTAAATCTTCCGGAAAGCGCGAATTCGCGCTGCTGAATCATTCAAAAACGTGCGCGAGCCCGCGCGGCGCACTGCTGAATCACTCGGAAATATGTTCGTGAAACTTTCAAACGCCTTACTCTAATATGATAAATTATATTCTTTCTTGTATTTCTACACGTAGAGAGTGCGAATTACCTCGATAATTTCCAAAAAACATTTCGTGACAACTACGATAGGGTCACGTTATTTGAGGATCGCGTAGCATGATAATAGCACTTGCGCGATATTAAATATAATATTAAATGTAACATTAAATGTACACGAAAAAAACAATTCCGCTGATGTAACTGAATTTTCCATTCATACGTTCATCGATATTTCTCGTTGTTCTCGATGGTATTAAAAGTTTTTTTTTTCAAATATTTATACGCCCATCTACGTGGAAAGTGCAATTTCGTTGGTGTCACTGAATTTTCCGTTGCCAGGCGAAAATACGATTGTAGGAACGGAAAGATCCTTATAGGACGTTTCTACCCAGTCGATTGTTTTTAATTGTCTCAATCGAATTTTAATGCAGCTAAATGTATATACGAACATTCTTAGTCGATGTAACAGAGATATCATTTCTTGTCACGCGTTGAGTTATCATTTCTTGTTATTGAGTTTTCATCTGACCCAAGTTCAGTTGCAAGGACAGAGTTCTTTTTTCCATGTAAGAGGTTTTCCTTCACGAAGACCGAAAGATTCGGTTGAATAATATTTTTGTGTGTAAATAATTACTTTGACACTTTTATCATTTTTAGAAACTCAAACGACGACTTTTTTTTATTTATCTGATCGTTTTACAATTTAGGCCCGCTCGCGATGGCATCCCCGATTAATCTGTTTTAGACAATTGTCAATCAAATACGCGTTCTCGCATTGAGTACCTCGCGTTGTTATAATGAATGATCGCTAAACACAAATAAAAATCTCTTGCACACGTATTGATATATTATTGTTTCGCAAATTTCTCAGTTTCGATACGCGACATGTGGCGAGCTGATGTTGGTCATTACTGGCCTCTTCGTAGGCGGCTTAGTAGGTCTATGTTTACCAATTGCCACGATTCAGTACGGTGAATTTAGCACGCTGCTAGTGGATCGTAATAAGGCCAATCACACGAGCACGCCGACTCTCATATTGAAGTGGTTCGGAGGCGGAAAAGTTCTGTAAGTATCACGTAACTGAGAAAAATCTCCATCGGATAAACCGATTAAATGATGTATCCGATTGCTTTTATTATTGTTCGATCAAGTGATGGATACCTTGATCCGATGAAGTATTCGATAAAGTTGTCAATGCAATTATTGATACGTTAGTTACGTAATTTCATTGGTAAAGTGGTCGCCCTTTGTATATCCGTCATAATTTTTATTAAAGGCATGACTTCATTGAATAAAATGACGAAATGAGCGGGTATTGCATTTGATCGGATATATCCGTTTGTTATTTTTTAATTAGATTATCTGATTGGATATGATCGGATATTTTTCTCAGCAGTTTTTCGCATTCGGAAACTAACGCTCGTTCCGTGTAAGTGCTCGCATCTTGCGACGTTGCGACGAGCAAAAGAAACGCGTGGTCGTGCGTATCGGATTTCGAAAGTGGGTTTTCCCGCACAACGCCAAGCGTGGGACTGTCAGAGCAAGGAAAACACGTAGTTTTGCCATTTTCAGGCCACCTGACGCAACAAGAGAAGAAAGGATGAACACTCTCTATGAAGATGCGGCAGCATTTGGCATCGCTTTCTCGTTGCTGTCACTAATCCAGTTCGTCCTCGCGATAATCGCGATCGACTTGCTCAATCTCGCCGCCACGCGACAGATCACTCGCGTGCGCAAAATGTTCCTGCGAGCCGTGCTTAGGCAGGACATGACGTGGTATGACACGAACACGTCTACAAATTTCGCCAGCAGGATCACCGAGTGAGTAGCTTTTCCTCTGCAGCGCAATATTACGTACGCATCGCCGCGTGTATCACCGCGAATCTTTCAATTTCGATACATCCTTGATAAGATCATCTTGATCGAAAATCCCCACGATGACAGGCAATTTTAATCGCTTACGTGCCATTCATGGACGAGAATGATAGCGCGATGCAATCATTTAATCAATCACACTGGTTAACAATATCGAGTCGCTAAAGGAAATTCATGAGATTTTGTAGGTGAAAAATTTGCGGGATCGAAGTTAATAATCTCTGGCTCGTTTGCGAATATATAACGAGATAAATATCAGAATCGCGCGGACTTCTCGTTTGTTCAATACGCGGTGAAAAATCGTGAGTTAAATTTAACATATTTTCACACGTCCCAAACGGTCCACGCAAATTTTTGCGTTAATTTAACACAAATTGAACATGTTAAGAAGTAATACAAACAATTTATTTAAAAATTATGTCGAATTAACACAAAATTAATATCTATAATATGTTAATCAACACTGAAATATAAAATGTGTTGTTTAATACTTAAAATATTATTAACATTTGCATTTACTACACTTGAATTGAATATCGACTCAACGCAAAACATACTGAGATAACATAAGCACAATATGTTAAATTAACACACGGATATTAAAAATTTAACACGAAAACTTTAACAAGGACCGATTTTAACACAAGTACGAAAGATTTTTACCGTGCATACCCGGGGAAAAACGAATCTCGCCGACGTCGAGTGAAGATACAATCGAAATCATTGAGTCCGATGATTCGGTACTACCTGTATCTCTCCCTCTCTCATTAGCGCGAAATTATTTCGGCCGCGGGACAATAATCTGTAACCTCACACGCCGGTGCGTCCCTCAAACGGGGTTGTCGTACCTTCGATTTTCGAGACTACCGATGTATACATAGCGGATGTGGGGGAAGAGCGCGGAGCAAAGTTCAAGAGGCGAGAACCGGCGTGTTCATCAACAGGTGGGCGTTCGTGAAACTCGAAAAGCCTGTTCCCGCGTTGTCTCTGCTCCCGCTCGTATTACGTCGTATAATAATTGAACGAGCACTCGTATTAAGTTATTAGCACTGTCGCGCGGATCGTCGGAATGTTCATTTTTGTCTCGAACTAACGCTCGTGGTCCCATCTTTCGCCGCTTGCGTCCTCTCTGCGCCGCATAGCGGAGCCAAAGACCTGTTTGAGCGGACAAACTATTTTTCTCACGCATACATTTCGTTTACCATCATATATATTCTTAACGCTAGAAGTACCGAGCGGTCATTCAATTTGTGTTTCTATTTTTTAGATCGATATCCTACTTGTATAAAAGATAGAATTCTGAAATTTCATAACTTTTCATCAATCACTTAATTATTTAATAAATAAAATAGTTTTGTAACCCACCTTAGAATACCTTTTATTGTGTATAGTAATCTTAGCAATCTGCAGAAAAATAGGCTCTCGATGTACAAACACATCAAACAAATCGTATTATGCCGAAATTGGGATTTCCTTTCCTTTGTGGAGTGCATATGTAGAATCCTACGCTTCTATGTGCCAGAAGTGTGATTTATAGTTTCACTCAGAATAAACTTTTAAAGTCTCGCCCGATAAAGTGCGATATCATACGCGGCTTTCCACTTATCGTCCAGTGACAAAGAAATTCCTTCCGCGAGTATCATTCTGTTCCGAGTAATCCGTATCGAACAATATATCTATATTGACTATAGCTGATGTTACATAAAAATGACTAATCTCACGGCTGATTTACCGTAAAAACGCAAGATAAGGATAAAGTTGATATTGATGACCAATAAACGTCCATCGCTGTTAATATAGTCGGGACTTCGAGCTGTGCGTTGCAATCTGATGAGTATAGATCTTTGTATTCGGTCGAAGTTCTTTTTGTACAATTTCGTCGATCGAACGAATGCGCACAAAATGAGAAATGTTCTCGATGCTTGCAGGGATCTGGATAAAATGAAGGATGGCATGGGGGAAAAGTTAGGTATTTTCATTAATCTGGTCAGCTCCTTCACGGCCTCGATCGTCATCTCGTTCGTTTATGGCTGGAAATTAACTCTGGTCGTGTTAAGCTGCGCACCGACCATCGTAATCGCCACAGCCGTCGTCGCTAAAGTACAAAGTTCTTTGTCGGCCTTGGAACTGGCCGCTTACGGACAGGCCGGCAGCGTCGCCGAGGAGGTCCTCGGCGCCATTCGGACCGTGGTGGCTTTTAACGGCGAGCAGAAGGAGGTGGAGAGATACACGGAAAAACTCATACCCGCAGAAAAAACCGGGATCAGAAGGGGGATGTGGTCGGGAGTCGGCGGCGGAGTGATGTGGCTCATCATATACTTCAGCTACGCTTTGGCGTTCTGGTACGCGTCCCTTCGCCGAACGGTTAATTCGCGTTTCGATGATAACTAAATTCGAACGCATGAAATCGTGCGTGTACTAATCGAGAATCTCGTTCTATCCTTGAAAAAAATTCCTCTCGACATTGATCGAGTGTCATTATCTTCGCAACAAAGAGCTGTGACGCGAGCGCGGATGACGTGATAACATAACTGATGAATCTCGGGACGTGAGAAAGAGAGACAAGAGAGACAAAATAACACTGATCAACAAATTTCGTATCATAAATTGTATCCTTTCTGAATTTTAATTTTTTTCCATTTATGTTTATGTATCGAAACAGAAAAAAATAACAATAGAAAAAATTATTTAATTATGGCTCGAGAAATATAGGCTATACTTTAATTTTTGTAAATTAATAGTATGAGAGAGGTGTGAAAATAAAACACAAGAATATATTTTTACTATTTTTACTTGTTATTTTTATATTTCATAGTGTCAGAAGAGCTAAAGTTTTTTTCAAACGTTATATTATTAGGCGTCTTTCAACGGCTTCGAAATAAAGAAGGTTACAACGGAAGAATAGAAATAGTCTTTATCTTGCAACAGGAAATTAAAACATGTCTTATTCATAAACTCTTACAGGACTGCTACATACACCATTCTCAATATAAAAAATTAGCTTTGAAAACATGATTTTGAAGACGTTTCTTTTTATTACCACGAAAGCCTGAAATATCAAATTCTCTTTCGATTATTGTTTACTATATGATGAAAATTAGAGCTAAGTTTTGATTTTAATTGTTATATTTGCGATCAACACCGCAAAAATAGAATTCGCCTTTTGTGCCACACAGGTATGGTCTGCAATTAATTTTGGATGACAGGCCGAAGGACGTCAAAGAGTACACACCGGCGGTATTGGTGATTGTTTTCTTCGGCGTATTAACCGGCGCACAAAACATGGGTATGGCCATAGTTTTAAAAGCTCGGAAAAAACCAGTTTTTTTTTCAATTTTCTCGCGGTCTTTTTCGTGTTTCCGCGTAGAAAAACGTGAAAAAGAAACGTTTTTTTCCCATTTTCTACGGATTTTTTCCATTCTTTTTCGCGGAAAAATGAAAAATGAAAAAAGACTTTTCTTTTAACTATAGGTATGACTTTGCCGCATCTCGAGGCGTTCGCGGTGGCGAGGGGTTCGGCCGCCGCAGTTTTCCAGGTGCTCGACCGCGTGCCGACGATCGACACTCTGAGCAGCGAGGGCGAGAAGCGGCAGTCCGTCCAGGGCGACATCGAATTTAAGAACGTCGAATTCCGTTATCCGGCACGTAAAGATGTGGAAGTGTTGTATGGGTTGAGTTTGAAGATCAATCGCGGCGAAACGGTGGCGCTCGTCGGCGGATCCGGCTGCGGCAAATCCACCTGTCTGCAGCTCATCCAGCGGCTTTACGATCCTCTCGGAGGCCAGGTGAGAGGTGACTTGCTTCGCAAACGCCGTCCGAGATCATTCGTCTCGACGAGCACGGCGAGACGCGCGAAACGAAACGCGTCGGCTTTCAAGCAACCAGGCACAATCCCGTCTTCCCTCAGCTGGCACGATTTACGAGGCCGATTTATACAATTTCTTTTTAAAGCAACAACGCTCAGCGACATAGCGTTCACGCGCACGCGCGCTCCTGCAGTGCGATACGTGTTGTTACGCAGGCAGCAAAGTTAATAACCGCGTGTACAGCGTCATAAATGTTCGAGTGACGTTTTTATCCCTCGTGAAATTACGGTGACACGACGAGGAATAAATGGCCGCGCGCTGCGCGCTATGGTAATTTACTTGGCGTTATTCAGAAAATAATTGTTTTACGGCCATCAGCCGCGATATTATATTTTCCGTCGTCTGTAGATAGGTAGATAGATTGGTAGGAAGGTAGGTAGGTAAATGGATAGGTAGGTAGGTAGATAGATGTAGGTAGGTAGCTAGGGAACCCCCTACCAAGTCATTTTATCGCTCGATATCGGCCCACTTATCCCGTTTATATTTTCACAACGGAGAAAATTCGCGACGAAGAATAGGCGGACGGACAGAGCTCTTTCCGCTCGCCGCGAGAAGAATCGATAAGTCGCTAAATTAACCGGCTACCCGACTGGAATCAAACACGAGCGCGCCTGCCGTGGTGAAGGGCGTCGCTGCAATTTTATTGTTAACGCTAGAGCGCGATTTTTACGACAACCAAGTGGTCGCGGGAACGGAATTAACGCGGCGCGCTGTATACTCATGCAATAAACGGTTTTATGGTTTGTACATTCTGGACTTTATCGTGTCCCTACCAACAAACACATCACGCCCGCGTTCGTGTTCGATAAACTTGTAAACTTTCCCAGCTATGCTATGCGATATCACAAGACTCCGCCGCTGCGATACAAAGTGAAGTTTCCCGCTGCACGTGCAGATACAACAATAATTACGTATTATCTCGCTTAGGGGAGTTACGTTAATTAATGCGACGTCTACTTTCGTACAAACGTCGCTCTTGCGCATCAGTTATCGTCCCTCTCGACTATCGATTCTCGTCTCGCGCTGGACGCGCGCGTTAAGTTTTATTCGGACAAACTTGCATTACCGCATATTGCATGGACAGTAAAAAATACCGAGTTAAATTTAACACATTACACATGTTCCAAGCGGTTCGCACAAATTTTTGTGCTAATTTAACATGAGATGAATATGTTGAAAAGTAACAGAAATGTTACGTCGAAAATTAATACAAAATTAACATCCACGATATGTTAATCGACACCAAAGTATAAAATGTGTTATTTTAATACTTACACGCGGTGAATATCAATTCAACATAAAATATTGAGATAACATAAACCCAATATGTTAAATTAACACGCGGGTGTTGTTAAAATGTAACATGAAAATTTTAACAAGGATCGATTTTAACACAAATACAAAATATTTTTTACTGTATACGCATAAAAAAATCAGCCACTCACGATCTGTGCAGAAAAGAGATCTTCTGTATCAGACGCATGATTGGTCAATTTCCTGATGTATATGCATTATGCGACTAAACGGTAAAACATTTTATATTAATTTAACAACATATATTTGCGTATTTTTTAAATGTATTCCCCATGTCAAGGACACACAAAAATTTCAGCGGGCCGTTTCTAACAGACAATGTTTTACTGCGTACGCGAGTTTGTCTGGATAGGTCTTTAGTGCGGCGCGTGTGCGCCTCTCTGTGTGAGCGTGTACCAGCGCGCGCGCGAGAGACAATCTCCATGGGTCTCCGTATTTTTCCTCGCAGGTCCTTCTGGACGGCATCGACGTGTCGAAGCTGAACGTTCAGTGGCTGCGCTCGCACATTGGCGTGGTCGGTCAGGAACCTGTGCTCTTTGACACGACGATACGGGAGAACATCCGCTACGGAAATGACAGCGTTACCGAGGAGGAGATGATCAAAGCCGCGAAGGAAGCGAACGCTCACGACTTCATCAGCAAACTGCCGGAGGTGAGTACCGCCGCCGCCGCCACCCGAGAACCTTTTCTCGTATTCCAGCCGCGCCCTTTGCCCGCCCGGAATTATGCCTCGTCCTTTTGCTCGCGCTAGGCGCGAGTTCGATTGATTCAGCCAGTTTCAACAAAAGAGCCACAAAGACGGCGGATACGCCGGCGTGTCACCGTCGGTGTGATTGAAAACCCAACGAAGATATTGTTCGATCGGTCTCTCTTTCTCTCGCTACCTTGTCATGGGAAACCATCCCTCACATTCTCTCTCCTTCTTGCGATCGGCGTCGCGTATCTTGATTACTTCGAACTAGTCGCGAGACGGTTACCAATGCGCGCCGGAGGGAGGAAGAAGAAAAGGGGAGGGGGAGGAATAACCATTGTTGTACGAAGTCACGCGCAACGATGAACGCTTAAACTTCACCGCGGGAGTACGCTTAAGTACGAGTGATTTTGGTATTCCGATGAAATAACGCGCACGAACGAAGAAACGGTCGATCATTGGGAGAAACTGTACGATTTCGTTCGAGTTTCGAAGGAGAGTTTCCGCGTTGAAAACCGCGTAAGTTCGGCGGCGGTCTCCACGAAGACGAAGACAACGCGAGAGAGATTAAACGTCCGGCGGCCGACATGACGGGATAAAGCGATTATTATAACGCGCGCTAGCTTCTTCTGGCCGGCCGCGATGATGGTCGCGCTGATGGCTTTCTCGTTTCGAGGATAATTTCCCGACCGGATATAACCGTTGTCATCGGCCGCGCGTTGGTGTTAACAATAGTCTCAGGTGCGGCCGGCAATTCGCGCAGTACGCGCGCAAACAGGCGATAAAACACGCGGTGTTAAACGCGCGCGCACGACCAAATAACATTATCCGAGATTACGCCTGTGTCAACGATTAGGCGTTTATTAGCGGATTATCGGCCGGTGAATTCGATATTCGCTACGGTCCCATTGGATCGCGCTGTCGCGTTTGCACGCGTGCCGATTTATCCGTGGGTTGTATCTGCGCGCGTTACGACTCGACCGTGCAGTGCGCGCACAATTGGAAAAGTGAAGCGCTCACGCGTACGCGCGTATATAACCGCATATAAGTTTATCAGTGCTGTAATTGAATGCGCGCTGTATACCTATCGTCGCGATAATATTTCCGGACTACGTCGGCGAGAGCGCGCGCCCGTGTTCGTATGTGCATGCGGCATTATCGCGTTATTTGTTAAGGCGGTTGTAGCGCAGAATGAGTTTGTTAAGAATTTATTGAAGCTTGCTATATATATATACACGTAGAAGAAAAATTAACCATAGGAGCCAAAATTAGCTGTGGCAGCTAAAATAGGGACAGCTAGTCGTTGCTATCGCAGCTGATAAATTTAATTGCATTAACTATTAGAAGCAAAATGCAAGGTATTCGAAAGAAAAGTTTGAATTTACAAGACACATTGAACAAACCAAACGGGTTTTGGTCGAAGGAAACAGAATTTCCCGTTATAAGAACCGAATTTAGGCCATAAGGATCAGAAATTCTATTTCCTTCGACCGAAACGCGTTTGGTTTGTTTATTGTCTGGTAAATTTAACAACATTTTTTTCCATGTACAGCTATATATTGTTCACTGTAGCGTCTTAGTTCGAACGAAAAAGTTTAGTTGCGGTAGCAATGACATTAGCTATCCATAGTTTAGCTAGTAATTCTTCCCTTGCTAATTCTTCCTCTGCATGCAGATTTGGCCTAATTATTGGCGCCCCCATTATAAGTAGATTGACCATTCGGAAGTCGAGATAATTACAACTAAAGATAACGTTATTTATACGTATTTTTTGAGGTTATTGTCCTATTTTCTTACTTTTATTTTCAATTATTTTTTAAACCATATTTAGGATTTTAGTGAAAAACTACTGTGATACTAAAGACTAGGGAAGAAGCCAGTTGTTTAAAGGGATAAGTTGGCTAATTGATTATTTCTGTTGTTTTCTTATACGTTACCGAATCAAGCGAGCAGGAATGTGAAATATGTCGAAAATGGTAATGAAATTCCTATTTGCTCGATTTTGTAACCTGTTAAAGAACAACAGAAATAGTTAATTTATATATAATAAAATATTTACCCCTTAAATAATAATAAAAAATTTACCTCTTTAGCCAACTAATCCGGTCTCCCCTAATATAGAGATATTATACAAAAATTTCAGAATTATTGACTATTTTGTTTTGAAAATATAGCGGTGTAAAACTAATAACTTATGGTGATACTCGAAATACATGTGTGTGTGTGTATATATATATATATATATATATATGCACATATATCTTTCGCTATTATCTGTGCATCTGTATTAGATCAACTAATGAGTAAAAATAACATTAATGAGAAAAATAATAAATAATTGATTTTTCGTATCTGTAATATTATATTTATACGTCTATTTCAATTTCGTTTGAAATTAACATTTATCATTTAAATAAACATATAGGAACGTAATCTTGCTCGATAAATACTAGATTTATGAGTGGCCTCCTTGATGCGTTACCGAAATTATAGCACTCTGCGATATAATTACCTTAAATCATGCGTCGGTCCCGATGCTCGAATTTTCGCGCGGAGAAACGGCGGATTCTTAACTGGCGGGAAATTCTTTCGCGTCTGAAACATGTTTTCTTTTTTCCTTTCCCACCCGGTGACTCGTTCGGCGCGCGCAAGCTCGATGCACCGAGGGGATCTACGGACGTCGTTATCAACGAACGTGTCGCGGCGACACACGTGAATTTATTAAACCGCGCGTTGCGTATGCACCGCAGGTGTGACACGTTGTTTCTCCCTTGATTAAATAACCGTTATTTCAAACCGCAAATCGTTCGAAAACTGCCGCCGGGCAATTGATGACTCGATACCCCCGTAGCCGGCACCGCCGTGCTCACACCTGCGATTACAAGCGCACGTAGCGCGAGCGATGCAATTCTTGCAGGTTTTAAATGAAAGCGCGATACGCGGAAAAAATTGTTGCCGGGGAAAAAAGCGGGATAGAGCCGAAGAGGGATTTCCATCCGGGAATTACCGAGAAATCACATCGGCGCGAAACGTTTCAACTCGGGCGTGCGAGCCATTCGTTCGGTTGTTTGAGGTTTTGCTTGATAAATACTAAATTTTCGAGTGGTCCCCTCGATGTGCCACTGAAATCACATCACTCTGTGACACAACTACTTTAATTCGCGCGTTATCCTTGGATTCTCGCGCGATCTCTCGCGGAGAAACTGCGGATTTTCAGATAGCGAAATTCACCTGATTTGCCTAAAATCGAAATTGCAAGGACGAGGAATAATACGCAACGCGCGGTTTAATAAATACATCCGCTAACAAACAATGTCGAGAAGTCCTGTTCTCCGCTTTTCATCCGCGGAAATCTCATCCTCGCGCGGTATAATGCGCTCCTGCCGCGATTACGCGTCCCAATATTAACCCGGTCGCACAGTGGACAACACGGGGACAATGAAATCGTCGTCTTGACTTTAGGGATACGATAGCCCGGTGGGCGAAAGAGGCTCTCAACTGTCGGGTGGACAAAAGCAGAGGATCGCGATCGCGCGTGCTCTAGTCAGGAAACCGGCGATCCTTTTGCTGGACGAGGCGACTTCTGCTTTGGACCTGCACAGCGAGGCGACCGTGCAGAGAGCCCTCGACGCCGCGTCGAAGGGTAGAACGACGATTATAGTCACTCACAGGCTCTCCACGATCACGAACGCCGACAGAATCGTATTTATCAAGGACGGTAGGGTCGTCGAGGAGGGAACTCACGAGGAATTGCTGGAGCTCGGGAAACACTATTACAGCCTGGTCGCCGCCGACGCGAACGCTACCGCCAAAGGTGCGTAACGAAAGCGTAACTGAGGATTCCTCGCTCAAAATTATTCACTGTATCGTTAATCTCGCATTATTCGTGGTGTTATTAGCCAAAGTCGCGACGGCCGTCAACAAGGTGTTATCCACCCCGAAGATGAAGGTGAAACCGCCTCTGAAAAAACAATTCTCGACGTTGTCCGCGCATTCCCATCGGCTCTCTTTCACTGAGAGGTCCGACATCTCGGAGAATGAATTGGAGGAGCACGAGAAACCTTATAATGCGCCCATCATGAGGATATTCGGTCTGAACAAGCCGGAATGGCCGTACAATCTAATCGGTAATTTGTCGCTAATGAATGAAGTCCTATAATCGTGAAGTGGATTTACGCAAGTAAAATTGCTGTAGATTTAACGAAAAATATTTTTAAAAACTACTCGCTTGAAACAAAATTATTAACTTCTACAACGTTGAAGCTGATGGAAAATTATCGTTAATTTCGACGTTAAATGTATTTTATAATAGTAACAATACGCATGTAAGATGATTATTACTCATACTGTAGCAACGTTTACTAGAAAAATCATTCTTCCGATTATAATTCTTTCACTACGGTTATAGTTACAATTACCAAATATTGTTCTCTCGATATAAAAATCACTTCACGACTATATACCGGAGAATCTTTTCTAACGTTCGTTCCAACTTTCCTTCTCGCTCGAGAATGTCTCCCTCACTTTAACACAGCGATCCGAAGTCCCGACAATTTACCGTTTCCATCACGAGTATTCTTATTGTTTCACCCAAATATGATGATCTTTTTAATATTATCTTTTCTGTGATTCCATACATACGCAGGTTCTATTGCGGCAGCGACGGTAGGCGCGTCCTTCCCGGCGTTCGCCATACTGTTCGGCGAGGTGTACAGGGTGCTGGGTCTCGAGGACGAGGTGGAAATTCGCAGTGAGATTATCAACTTCTCCATCATGTTCATCGTCGTCGGCGTGTTCACCGGCCTCGGTACTTTCCTGCAGATGTACATGTTCGGTTTGGCAGGCGTACGTATGACCACGCGAATCAGGAAACTGGCGTTCAACGCGATGCTGAAGCAGGAAATGGGCTGGTATGATGAGGACTCGAACAGTGTGGGCGCCCTGTGCGCACGTCTTTCGACGGACGCCGGGGCGGTTCAAGGTGCCACCGGGACTCGCGTGGGCGCGACCCTGCAAGCCATATCGACTCTCGTCCTCGGCATCGGACTGTCCTTATACTACACGTGGAAGATGACGTTGGTCTCGGTGGTGTCGATCCCGCTGGTGCTCGGCGCGGTGTTCCTCGAAGCGAGGATCATGAGCGGCCAAGGTATGCAGGAGAAGAAGAAGATGGAGGCGGCGACCCGGATCGCCATCGAAGCGATCTCCAACATACGAACGGTCGCCAGCCTCGGCAAAGAGAATACGTTCTTCGATAAATACTGCGTGGAGTTGGGTCACGTCGCCAAAGCGACCAGAGTGAGGAACAGGCTGAGGGGTCTGGTGTTCTCGTGCGGACAGACCGCGCCATTTTTGGGATACGCCGTGAGCCTCTATTACGGCGGTTACTTAGTGGCTCGAGAGGGCCTGGACTATCAGAACGTCATCAAGGTGTCGGAAGCGTTGATCTTCGGCTCGTGGATGCTCGGCCAGGCGCTCGCGTTCGCGCCCAACTTCAACATGGCCAAGATCTCAGCCGGCAGGATCTTCAGACTGCTCGACCGAATGCCGCAGATTACCTCGCCGGCAGGATCGGAAGGGAAGGACGTCGGCTGGGTGAGTTTACCCGAGATATACTTCGTGCGTATAAGCATGCTGTGTAAGCAGCCCCTTCTGTAGAGCGTGTTTCCGACATTGTTGCGCGCTGCCTCTCCATTATACATTGTATATCAAGCGCGACGGCTGCCGAACGAATAACATTTGCGAGACTCGAGATCGCAGCTGTCCTGGCAAGATGTTTATAGTGTCGAGTGTTAATGTAGTCACGAGAGAGAGAGAGAGAGAGAGAGAGAGATATCCAACTAAATTCCCACCGTCGAGAGAGAACCGAAAATTCGTCGAAGAATGCGGACTCGTGATAAAGCGCGCGGCATGTGTAATTAGTCGTAACTTTTAATTAGTTTCTTGCAAAGTTAATCGAGATTTGCGCGACATTGAGCACGGTATTTAAATTCGTTGCTCGAATCGTACGATCATTAGTCTCGGTGATTTATATTGCGCGCGCGGTTGGCCGACGAGGATCATGCCTCAACGTGATTTGTCTCATTGCCGGATATTCCCACGTCACGTTCCTCTCTCGAAAAAATGTAACAGAAGTGTAGTCCGGCGAGATCGTCGAACAAACGAAATTAAACGCGTTAAGTCGAACAGCAGGATCTTTTCCGCGCGCGCGTACCTTGCGACACACACGACTTTATCGCAAGACGAACGGGATCCGTTACGCAAGAATGCGCATTCTGTATTCCTGAAGCGCGCCGCATCTTTGGAGCATACCGTCGGTGTTATTAACGGGATTTTTAACGGAACTCGGAGAATGCACAGTGTGCTCAACAAACGAGTTACGTAACTGCGCGGTGTGCTCAGTGGACGCGTTGGATCGCGAACAATTTTAGTGATCCGTGACGCGTGGTCGTCCGTCCGCGGTGAAAACGCGCAAGTTAATCAAATGATTACTCCGACGCCTTGCCCCGAACGTTGCTGATTACCGGCAAGTTTAATCGTCGAACTGCGATTTTCCCGTTTCGTTTGTACCGGTCAACACGTTTGGCGTGCGCGCGCACACGCTAGCCAAAATACCCCGTGCAAATGATATAACATCCATTAGAAATTTACAGCAGCTTGATAGCACAGCGCCGGAGCGGCGTCTCGTTAATTACGCGCGGAACACGGGACCGAGTTCGACTGATCTCGCCGCCGTATGCCGTGTCAACGCGCCGGTCTCTCAGAATACTCTCCGAGTAAATTAAATGAAACGTAACACTCTCGTTAAATATCTCCGAATAACGATTTATTTAATCGCACGCGCGCGCGCGCGCGCCTCGTAACGATCCGTTACAACTGCTCCGAGGAGGAAGCTGAGAGAAAGAGAGAAGAAAATAGAAAAGATTAAGAGAGACAGAAACTAGAGCGACGTCGACAATGAACTCTCTGCTTCGCTCGTTTTTTCCCATCGCCTTCCTTATAACGACGCTCATAGAAACCTCGCGTCGCAGGACGAAAGAAAAAGAGAGAAAGAGAGGGAGGAAACGAGTGAAAACGCCGGGATTAACGCACGTATCCGTTCGGTTAACAGGAACACTTTGCGTTTTTACTTCGCAGAAAGCGGACGGGATGATTCAATTCTCGAAGGTCGAGTTCCAGTACCCGACGCGGCCGGAAGTGCAGGTGCTCAAAGGGCTGAATCTAATTGTGAAGCCGGGTCAGATGGTAGCCTTGGTGGGTCAGAGTGGTTGCGGCAAGTCGACCTGCATTCAGCTGTTGCAACGGCTGTACGACCCCTTGTCCGGCGACGTGACGTTAGACCGACGTGACATCGCGTCGGTCTCGTTAGCCAGGCTCAGGTCGCAGCTCGGCGTCGTCGGTCAGGAGCCGGTGCTCTTCGACAGGACGATAGCCGAGAACATCGCTTACGGCGACAATTATCGACAAGTGCCTATGGACGAGATCATCGAGGCCGCCAAGAGATCTAACATCCACAGCTTCGTCTCCTCGTTACCGCTGGTAAGTCGTTGTCGCTCTGCGCTGCCGAAAGTTAGCGCCGATAGAAAATCACAGTTATTTTCGACGTCGAACATACCCTTGTTTTATTTAAGAAAATAATCACAAGAATAGCCAGGATAATTATTTTTCTAAGTGTTACTGTACTAAATAACCTGGAAGCTTAAATGGAGGACTTTAAAAAAATCGAAAAGACCGTAAAGAAATTTTCTTTCCACGGTATTCCTCCTTCCATTTAAAATGCTCTCGACATTCCTCATATCATTAAAAGTAAATGAGATATTTAGATGTTCTCCTTATAGATAATCTTGTACTTTCAGTGATAATAATTTGATGTTTATTATAATAAAATATAACTATAAAATAGGTTTGGCGCTGAAAATAATTATAATTTTCTATTTGTGTGACGGAAGGGACAATTCGGAGGGAAAGCTTCTCGTATACTTTCCGCGAAATTTAAATAAATTCACGCCATAGATTTTATCTGGTGCTGAAAATGATACTAGCAATTTTATCACATATTTTATACGATATCGTGTGAAATACGTGATAAAATTACTAGTATCACACGCGTACACACTTCCAATCAATCATAAAGTATATGAATTTATTTAAATGATATTTTTTATAATGACATTTTTTTATGTCTCTTAACACGTTGACTGCCGGGCCGAAAAAGTGCTACACACATTCAAGTAATATTTACTTAACACGTTAGCTGCCGGTCACGTGAGGATGTGTTGATAGTTAGTGCCCCGCCGAACGCGTGACTGGCTACTGATACATCACCCCACACCCCGCGCTGGCACGTGATTGACTCTGTAGCGTTGACGCCATATCACGCACTGGCACGGGATCGGCAGCGAAAGTGTTAAAACTCTCGCGTTTCCTACTCTTCTCGTACGAAAGGAACCGAATATAAATATCTCGTCTTGTCATATGTGTTCAGGGTTACGACACGAGATTAGGAACGAAGGGCACTCAGCTCTCTGGAGGACAGAAGCAACGAATAGCGATCGCGCGCGCTCTCGTTCGGAATCCTCGAGTTTTGCTGTTAGACGAAGCCACTTCGGCTCTGGATACGCAAAGCGAAAAGGTAAGAACCGTCGCACTACCACTCCCCTTGAACAAGCAACTTGCGAACAATTTCATCGACGCTATTCGACGATGCGACCTCTTCCTTATTTCTCCCGTCGATATTGCGTATCGGCCAAATTTCCCCCTTCGATTTTGAGCTACGGCTCCGAACAGCGCAGGCGCGCGCGGAAACGCGTTAAGCGATGAAGCGAGAACTATGGAAGTGCGCGAGAAGAAAGCGCGAAGATTCACTTTTGAAGTATGCAAACGCGTCCACGAGTCACGTTACATAGAAAAGAAGGTAGTATTATAGCACTTTTTAATATTATGGCCTTCCCTTTATATTTCCGCTATTAGGTGACGGATTTCGATTATTTATGGAATCATTTGTTTAGTAGCCCGCCGTAACACTAATATACCAATACACAATAATCGGCATTTGTTAAAACGTATTTTTACTTTCGAGAATTTTAAAATGTTTTCAAGGTATATTTTAGCATTTAATGTTGCACATGCTTCCTCATTGTTCTTAAACTTGGGCATATTATTACACGAATATACATATATTTAAGTGTTTTGTTCGTTATTTAACATTTTATTCTCGCTGCACATATTTATTTGTTATGCAAAGTAATGCAAAGTTAAACAATAGAATAGCATTTTACTAACTTGAGTTTTACTAATTTATTTGGAATAAATACAAATCTGTAACAAAACATTACGTTTTTTAAGCAAAATCAATTTTTTAAATCTATTTTATCGGAAGACCACATTACTTCTCCTGTTCTTCTTCGACCCATTATGCAGGGTCACCACATTTTTATAAATAACATTCTAAGTAATCAATATTTCATAACTTTAAGGATAAAATTGCTTGAACATCATTTTGGACGGTTGTAATCGTTAAATTTTCAATTTAAAGTATTGATTATTAATAAAATATTGATTAATCATCGTACAAAATGTAAATGGGGAACTATAATACCACCTTCTCCTCTAATAGTCGCTGGAACATGAAAGTGGCTTATTATTAACCGCGCGCGCGCGGGCTCGCTCGCTTTGTGCGAGACTCGTGGAGCAGAACGCTCTATGTCGGAATGAAGTGTCCGGCTTTCGCTTTTTGCTCAGTGTAGCGTGTACACTTCCTATCAATTAACGGAGCACCACAACTCCATGTTCACGGCGGTGTCGTCCGTCTCGCCGGGATGACATTAGCGCGCTCTCATTCTCTCCGTCTCTCGCGGCCGAGATCGACGGAGCGACGACGCGAGATTGCAGATCCGATTGAAAACTCTCACGAAGGACACGGACCGTTATCGTCCTCGCGGGGAGCCGGCGATGGACGATCGAATTAATGGCCGTCGAAAGTAGAACCACGGCGCGGTTTATTTCCCTCCTGCACGGTTCCCTCGGGCGCCATCCATGAATTTTCTCCGCGAGTTTCCGCCACCAGAAAATCATCGCGCTTCATAATTCCGCCCGTGACGATCGCAAATTAACATCTGCGTCGTACCCCTGTGCCCTTTAATCGCCTTCAATAAGCGAGAGGGAAAGAGAGAGAGAGAGAGAGGTAATATGTTCGCACGCGGCACACGATTTCTCTTGATTGTCTCCCTATTAGCGTCTTCTCTAAATATCTTGGAGTGAAACCTCATTCCAAACGAGTGATAATTCACTGTAAGCGATAGTGAAAATGCTGCTATTTTTTAAATGGAATGACATTTAACTTTTCACAAGAAATGCATAGAAAAAAGGAATTAGCTGCTCACGTTATAATACAACTAAAATTTAGTTATTAGACCTAATTCCCTGTGGAAGCGAAAAACTAGATACAGGGACGAAAAGAATTGCCTAAATTACCGAAATTCACCTAAATTAGATAATAAACTGGTCTCCCTTTACACGCTTAAATTTCAGTTATATTATGTGGACAGCTAATTTTTACCTGTGGGAATTAGTTTTTAGTCGGAACTAATTCTTTCTTTCCGTATGAATGTTCCACTCAATCGTAAAGTGAATATTTTATTCTCAAAATAGTGAATTCTTCTAATTTACATTCTTTAACGCGTGAAGTATTCATTTTTATTGTGTTGTTCTTAAAGTGTCATTAATGATTTTGTCTCCAAATTTTCTCAATTATATGCTGTTTAGTAGATTTCATTTCCATTGTATTTGAAAAATTTGCTTGTCACTGGTTGGATATGAACCCAATACTTCAGGGTTTTGAATCTGCTGCACTACGTCTCGCCTTGATTAATAAATAAATTTTGTATATTTATAATAGAAATATATTATTATGTTAGTAAAGTTTTTTAAATATTGTTAATAATATTTAAAAGAGGGATGGAATAATTTTTTAAATATTTTTATTCAAATATATATTCCGTATAAAGTGTAATAAATTGTGAACTAAAGTTATGAACTGAAAAAAGGATACAATAGCCGCAAGATAATTGCAGTAAGTCTCGATCACCTTGTGGCTTATACATTACATCAGGTATTACATTAGATCAGGTTAAATTCGGTATAAAATGAAAATATTCACTCCAAAGAGAGAAAGAGAGATACGGAGTGAAAGAAATTTATTTTATATGAGTGAAAAGTTATTCCAACTCGGCTGACTCGATAGTCACTCCATTTCTCGAGTGGAATTTTACTTCACGGCATAAAAGAAAAATATTCACTCCGTCACGTTACGGAGTAGAAGAATTTATTCCATAAGAATGAAAAGTCACTCCAATTCGTGTTACTTAGCTATCACTCCATTTTTCGGACGGAGACCTCACTTCGAGAAATTTAGAGAGAAAGAGAGGTCGCGGAAGACGAAGAAGAGGTCATAAATTAAACAAGGGTCCTTTACTTACTGCCGTTTGAAAAAAAATTCCGCGTTTTTCGTGAGTTATTTTTCCACAGGATCGTCCCAATAAAAATACACGGTTTCGCCGCCGATATCGGGTCGCGTGGAACGCTCTCCGAAACGGCGAAATAATTAATTGTTTAATTTTAACGTTCGGTGTGCTCGATCACAAAGCGAGTGTCCGCGCGCGTTTCCCGCTATGGAAAAGGAACGCTATTGAAACAAACGTACACCGCGTGAACGTCGCGGAACTATGTTGCGCGAACGAAACTATTTCCGATAAGCAATATAACACGCGCTCGCGCGAGTGCGCATGATAGTCGGCGCAGTCGGATAATAAATATCAGAGTATTTACAATATGGGCCACTAGAATATCGATTGTGCGAGGGCAACGACGATTCCGATCGCCGAACTATCGCGCGCTAGTACGGGCGTGCGCGCGCGCGAAGTGGATGAATATTAACGAGACTCGATGGATTTCGATGAAAAATGAAAAGGGTGAATCAAAGAGCGAGCGGGGAAATAACGCCCGCGGCCGGCGTATTACGCGACTCTACACACCGGTGTCGGTTTTGTATGATAATTCTCGCGCGTTCGATTAAAACCCGCTGCTACAGATCATCAGCCGGCCCTTTGTCGTCGGCAGCTGCGTAAATTGCGTAACCTCGCAATCACATCTTACCATTTCCGCATCACTTTCACGAAGCATTTCCCTGAAAAAAAAAACGGGCGCAACAATTCGCGTGTCTAAAACTCGCGTTGACGACCGGATAAATATCTTCTTTTTGATATTTTTTGTTTTCACTGCCCGCTCTCGCGAATTCTTCTCTCCTCTTCCCTCTTCTCTCTCGTCCCTCCGTCGATCTGTCGGAATTACCGGGCGAACGGGCTGCAACGCTATTGCTGGTATTATCGGCGTTAACAATCGGAAATGTTCGGCTTTACAAGCGAGCGGTTGTTGCGCCCCGGTCGGGAAACAGCTCGTCGGTCGTAATGAATTTCGCGGCAATATTGTTCCGCGCTGGCCTCTCACCCTCACCCAGCGGAGGACAGCGGGACTGAACAACCCCGCTAACTCCATCTCTCCTTTCGTTGCTGGTCCGTAAAACGAAAGCGGGAAAGTGGTTACGTTCGATTGGCCCCCTCGCAAGCACCTCGAATCGCTCCTCCATTCTGAATCGCGTTAGCACGTGTTAGCACGGCCGGTCTCGTTAATTGGCGCGAATTAATCTTAGCGAATTAATTCGCGCACTGAACGCGTTGAACAATCGATATCCCGTGAACGGGGTAAATACATGATATGAGCGGCGAAAAATTTTTCGCGTATCGACACTCGGACACACAGTAAAAAAATGTTGTATAAATAACGGCTCGCTGGAATTCTTGCACTCACTTTAACAAAATGAATATACTAAAAATTAATGAATATAAAAATAAAAAGTAATATGAATATAAAAACTAAAAAGTAATAATCTAATATTTAATTTAATATTTAACATTTATGTATTTTTTAACATATTCATATTAAAGTAACGCAAAAAGTTTCAGTGGAGCGTTATTTACATAAAACTTTTCGCGCGAAGCGTGTAAAGGGAGACCAGTTTCTTATCCGCGAGAGCGATTCAATTTCCGATCGAATTTCAAGCGGATCTCATTTTCTTAATTCGTGTCGGGACATGTGTATCGTAACGGAGGATCCTCCTCGCGGTTGCTCGAGAACAACTTGCCATTAAACTTGGCGCGGAAACTGCGTTATCTCCGTGTAATAATATCTTTCACGCGTACCACCAGGTGCGTATAAAAACTTGCTCGATGATTAAGATGTATAAGGCGAGGGTGTATAACATAACGACCCGACCGTCGTTTACTTTCTCATCCCTGCCATTTTCGTCGTCGTCGTCGTCGTCGGTGGCGGTGGCGGCTTTCTTATTACATGCCCTCCGAGAACACCCTGTCACATTATCCCACACTTTGTGCGTGCAGGTCGTGCAGCAGGCCCTGGACAAAGCCATGGAGGGCAGGACGTGCATCACCATAGCCCACCGTTTGGCCACTATAAGGAACGCGGACGTGATCTGCGTGGTCGACAAGGGCATGGTGGCTGAGATGGGCACCCACGACGACCTGATGGCGGCCGGAGGTCTGTACGCTCAGCTGCACGCTCTTCAGGAGAGAGAGGGAGAGAGCGTGTCGTAGTAACGGAGCCTCCGGCGTTGGATTCCGCGTTCTCCTCGTTCGGCATGAATCCTACCGTCGCGGATCTCGTTGCCAGTGGCTGACTCGGAGACGGTTCTCGGCGGTGAGAAACGAGAGGAGAAGAGATACTACGGTAAGGCCACGGAGCGAGAGCGGTTGACTGTCGGAAGGCTGCCGACCACGTAATACCGAGGGACATAAAGCGGGACGGGATTGAGAACGGGCGTTCAAAGGACGGGGACGCGTCAGCGCGCGCGCGCGCAGCGATCCTCGAGTGGAGGTTCACAGGACACACGTTCACGGTTCGATTCGCTGCGTCGACACGCGATCGTCGCGTCTGTACGCCTGCGGCGAGCAGGTGTCCCTCGCAGGTAGGCGTCGTTCGCCTTCGAAATCGTATATCGGTGTAACGAGGGAGGATTCTCTTCACGGTAACTCGACGTCGATTTGACGGATCAGTCACGTTGCAACAGATCGAGTGTCTTTTCTTTTCCTTTTATAACCTACGTCTTCTTACTGTTTAATTTAATTCCGAATAATTGTGTGACGCGGGACCCTCGGACGACCCTCACCGATTCTCGTCGCGAGGAGCTTTCCATTCGTTCTTGATTCATTTCATTTTCGCATTCATCGACACGAGCGCAAGCGGGAACGTAATATGTGTTTGGCGGCGTCGTTGTCTAGCTTCCGGGAGGACTTCAGCGCCCTTCACGATTGAGCCGTCACGTTGGATCTTCGTCGTGACTTACTCGCGCTCCACCAGCCTCTATCTTGACGTTCATCAGTCGCGTTTGCATTTATCATTTCTCTTGGTTTAGTTTTGTACAGGACGTTTACGGTTGGTAGACTCAAGTCTCCGTTAAGTAATGTTTCACCGAGGACCACGCGCTGCTTCTCCTCCTGGCAGCCACGTTACTTCATTAAGCGTCGCGCGCGCTGCCCGACCTAACGATCCATCCTTTCGGAACGGTATAAAACGCGCCGCACACGCGGCATTATCCGTAATGGCAGCGACGTAATAGACTTTACCGTCTCCCTTTTCTCTCTCCGTTCCCCTTCGTCGCTGTCGTCGTCATTCGTACGAGCGCCACCGACTTTTCTCCGTGGCGCTTTTTCTCAGGCGATAATATTTCTCCGTGCGTGCGCGCATACACGTACAAATACACCCACGCACGTGCGTCCACACAATCTCCTGCGATCTTCATTGCGAGCGCCGTCATATCTCGCGACGGAGGTTGCAAAATTCGGCTGTACACACTGCGTCATACATACGCCTTACTATTCCCCTGGATCGCAAATTATACCATTTTCAGCTTTACGCATACACGGAAAAAGAATTGGTCTTAAATCAATGATAAATATTCTATACATAAGCAAGAATATTATAATCTTAGATTTTTAGTCTCGGTTTGATTGAATTTGTAACGATACAAGTATTGCTTTGTATTCAATTCAAGACTAAAAATCTTCTAAGAATATTATTATATTCTTACTAATATGTGAGAATCTATCGTTGACTTAAGACTATTTCTTTTCTATGTATACATATAAAATCGGAACCGTTATAATTGGAGTTATTTTCAACCTTATGCGTACATGCATAAGCTTGAAATTTAATTCCGTAAATTATATAAGCTTGAAATGTAATTTTCGATCTAGGCGATGATAAGGCGATGTTATATATGACGTAATATATACTTTCCTTTCAAGAGAGAAAGAGAAAAGAAACGATCGACGCGATAAACGACAATAGTTCGGAGTCGTCTCGCTAATGTTCAAAAAGAAGTTCCCACGGGCGCCTTACTTGAAACGCAGCGCATCAGACCGATCGAACGGAAGTCGATACAACGGTCCCGTTAGACGCAATTAGCGTAATTAATACTATTGATCTACGCGCTCTTCGCGCTTCGCTTGATTAGACAGACGGCGTAACTGAATCGATCGACTCCGGCGGGACATAACTGGCGTAACAAGGCGTGCAAATGGCGACAGGTGTTCGGAGCTAAGGGCGTGGTGTGCGTGAAGGGTGTTCTACGCCGTGTAATTTCGACAGTGCCAGCGTGTGGTAGCGCTCTAACGACGCAAAGAGCATGAAAAATGTATAAGTATTTCTCTCGAAATATATACATTCCACCCGCCCGCTCTTCCTCTCTCAACTCCTTTCCCCCTGGCGTCTCTTCTTTCCCTCTCTCTTAGCTGAAAAATTCAGATGTTCATCTTTATTCCCCTGCGGAGGGAAAAAAGTGAGAGAGAGATAGATAGAGAGAGAGAGAGAGAGAGGGGGAAAAAAAGAGGAATTCTCTTCTCGCTCGGCTAGCCGGGTGAAATATAACGAATTCAGCCGCGAGGCGAGATGTCGGATACGAGAGAGTCCGCCGGGGGAATGTAATAAATCGTCGTTGGCCTTCCCAATGGTGCCTTAATAATTAGACGTTCGATGTACCGGTTCTCACGCGATGAAGAGACAAGCGAGCACGAAAAAGACGCGGGCGTGATGATAAGAACAAAAGACGCGCGTAAGTTGCATATATTGAGGAGGAAAACAAGGGAGATCGTGGCGAGGTCACGCGCACGTACACACACACACATACACACTCTCTACCTTTTTATCCTTCTCCTCCGCGGCGCTTTGCGCCTACTTTCCTCGCGCAATTCAGAAGTACAGTTCTCCGGCTGCGAAGAGGAATATTTACTCAAAAATATCCGGAGGTTAACCCGCGTAGAAGAAGCGCGGCTTTTCTCCGAGGGATGTCTGGTGAAGCGACTTTCGCCCCGTCATCGCGGCACAATGGCGCACGACACGAAGAGCAGAAGTTGAAAATACCGGGGACATTCGCGAACCCGCGTTCCAATAGTCATCCCGATCTCCCCAACCTTCTCGATAAAGGTGAACGGAAATATATGGGCTCGGGCTAAATTCGATCGTAGGAAATTATGTAGAGCGACACGCGACCGTATGAGTAAACCGATATTTATTACCGTAATAACGGTTATGTGTACGATACGACGAGTGAATAAAGTTGAAATAGGAGGTCGCATTTGTACAGTGCGCGTATACGCGCGGAGGACGGGGAAACGCGATTCGGCGGCAGAAATCTGCCAATTTGTCGTCGATCCTGATGTAATCGCGAAATAATCGAGTCGATTGTCGCGCGGCAGGACGATCAGACGATTGGTTTCTCGAGCGCGTGGCTCCTATAAATTATGCGCGGCGTGGCGGGTCATTTCGTTCGATTGTACTTTCTCCCGAGAGAGATAGCTGATGCTTTCCCCCCTCAGGCTTAATAACGAAATTCGCCGGCGGAAGCTTATCAGCTTTGGCGATGATGTACAGCCGGTGCGACGGAGGGAGTGCGTGCAAAAAGGCCCGAGATGATTTTTCAAAATTTCTGCCTACGGCTTAAGATCACTGCCGCGTCTCGGCCGTCGATCCATTACCGGGTGATGATAAACCGAACGTGAAAGAATGATCGTTACTAGACGAAATAAATCCGAGGCGTACAACAAGGTATTGAACGGATAATTGTCAATTGCAGGGATCGAAGAAAACGGATAAACTTTATTTCGAATGAAAAAGAGGGAGGGAGGAACAGAAATCCATGGTTAAAAATCTATATAATTTTATATAAATTGAAATTAATTATTCTCCCAGAATGTTCGTAGAAAACGCGTAAATTGTTATATTTTCATTTATATAAAATAGCTTTAAAAGAATTAACGCCAAAGAAAGAGTGGATATACTTTTCGATCCCCGGTCAATTGCAAAAATGGCTATTTAAAATTAAAATAGCGACCATCGTAACTTAAAGGCATAGATCTTGCGTCGATAGTGAAAGATGAGTTAAACCTGGCCTGGACGCGAGAAAGAAATACTTAAGAGAATGTTCTAAAATTAATGAGAGACATATGAACGATGGGTCATATCGAGCGTGCTGAATCGTATGATCATTTACTAGTAATCCTAGATGTACGAGGAGAAGAAGGAAGAAGAAGTATTATCGCTTTTGTTACAAGAAAATTATATTATATTGTGAAATATTAATAAAGGAAAAAATATAGAGGAAAAAAATGCGCAGAAAGGACACGATGCAATTACCATTCCTTCATTCCTCCGACATAATCTTTTGTATTTGCATTATGTTCCGCACATTATTATTTGCGGAAGGATTAATTAATCAAACGCAGATGACGTCCATAAAGGCTGTTCCGGACACATTGGCTGATCCTTCATAATTCCTACAACAAGCTTTGAATTGATTCTTTCCCAGGAGAAATTCGACAGAAAATCCAATTAGATGAGAACAATTGAAACTCAAAAGCAATTCAAATCGAAATTTTGGTTCTACATTAACCCTGTAGATTTCGTTGAACCTATAGGGCCAATGGAGAATATCTCGAAGTATTATACGGATTATTGTATTTACTTTTAATACTACAAAAGGTTATTTATAGTCGTTTGTTTGTTATTATTTACTTTTAATACTACAAAAAGTTATTTATAGTCGTTTATTTGTTGAGGCTTATATAAAGAATGATTTATTTAAGAATAATTTCGTATTTATACAATTATTTTAATAGCTTTTATCTATATTTTTCTTTAATTTTTAAAGCAATATATATTGCAATATATATATATATATATTAATTGTATTAAATATACGATATTATATAGTATTATATCTTGAAATTCTCTACTGATCCTTCAAATTCGATTGCATTTATAAAATTCACATAGAAGCAAATTTTCGACTCGAAAAAAACGTTTGAGGCAGATAAATAATAATTTTCACGATAAGTGCGACATAAATTGTTGGGAAGACGTCTTGAATGGTTGGAAAAGTGTCAATCTTAAGTAGCGTTCTTAGCCCCTCTTTTTTTCTTCCTTTCTCTCTCCTTTTCAAGATAGGCAGTCAATTTTTTATGTCGCAGAGTGTACTTGGCGCGATTTATATTACGAGACGAGAATGAAACTTCTTTATCGCGTCATCTGCCGCCTCGTCGTCTCGTCTATCGTGTAACTATACGGTATATTTTTATCGCAATCTTTATTTATATATTACGATCATCGTGTCACCGATGCGACAAAAACGAAAGATATGAATAGGATGGCATGGCAGATTAACGAGTAAGTAACTTTCCCTTACTTTACCCGGCCCTTCGAACAGCTCAAGACAGGCTCAGGCGAGACTCTCGCCAGAAATTCAATTATCCTACCATCGCTTCCGCGCAAAGCACGACATTTTTTATTTCGTCGGAGCGCTCTCCTCCAAATTCACTGGTGAAAACTCGTCTCCCTCTCTCCTTCTCTCTCTCCCTCTTTCTTCCTTTCTCTCTTTCTCTCCGTATTTCTCACAAGCGCACAGGCTCGCAGAAGGGAAGAAAGGCAAGCACTTCCATCTTATCATCGCTGTCGAAGCGTCATTGTGCGGTGGAAGGTGCGGCAGGTTTTAGGGCCCAGAAAGAATAGACGAAGGTAGTTGACGAAGGGACGAAGTGAATACCAAGTTCCGATGGACGACGGTGGCTCAGAAAGCAGATAGCTCGAGGAAGAGAGAAAGAAAGCACAAAGGAGAAGGACGGGTTCTTCCAGCCACGGGACCGAACTCGCGAAGTTACGAGGCGACGACCGCGATGGCCGATGGAGTTTTTAAGTAAACTTGTGCGGCGAAATCCGCGGGGAAATAAGTCGCGACAATGACGCGCGCAGAAGGGACCGTGGGGTTTATCTCACAGGTCGATCGAACGCTCGTGCGCGCGATTAAATTGGACATAAAATAAATTACGGTCGATATACATAAAGCAATTATCTATTCTCGCGTCGGTAATGGACAGCGATGCAGTTTAATCATTGATAACGAATTATTAATTACATGGGTTCGCCCGCTGGACAGTTCCGAATGGTCCGACTAATGCGCGAGGACCCACCGGCAAAGAGGAAATTGACTCTATATTATAGACGAGATTGATCCAGTCGTTACCGTGTGCTCGGGAGATTCTTTGACAATTGAATGATTAACGCGATAATACATACGATATGTGGCCGGGGCGACAATTCGTCTATTGTAATAATGGACGTTTTACGGATTTTTTCAGGTCTTTCCGCTCGGACGCGCGCCTCTTGAGTTATCGCAATATTTGCCGGTATGCTTGGACTTTGGGTACGACGGGAGTTTGTAGCGCGGCTTGTAGCGCGCGACATCGAGCTAATAGTAATGCCCAACAGCACGACGCGGACGAAATTTCGGGTCGGAATTTAGCCTGGGTCGTCGTCGTCGTCCTCATCCTCGTCGTTCCCGTCGTCGTGGTTGGGTGTCAATTAGCATTCAGTGAGGAACGTCGTCCTTTGTTGTATGCAGGCACCGGGCGAAACTGGACTGCGTTTCGTGGGAAGCAGGGGATCGTGCCAACTAGGTGGGTCGCGCTGCAGAAACGGTGGTCGGGGGAGCATCGGGACATAGGAGTGTAGACACGAAGAAGAATAGATTCAATAAATACGCGGGCGTTGGAGGAGGGATCGTGCAAACACAGATACATATCTGCGTGGAGGGATACGAGCCGGACGGTCCAACCTATCTTCATTATTTATTGCTGAGAACCGCGAATGAGCGTGATGGCTTCATTATCGGAGGTTATCACCGCGAGTTCTTCCGCGCTTCTCGCTGAGGACACGCGAAGGAAGAAATAACTTCTTCTCCCTCTCTCTCTCTTTCTCTTTTCCTCTCACCGTAAGAACAACCGTAGTAAAACAAAGCCTGTTTGCGAAGTGGAAATACACAGAATGCACGCGGCATTCACCGTCACGGTGTTATCTGACAATTTTCACGTGAGAGGAACGCGCTGCGAAGATGAGATCGGATTGTTTTTCGCGAAACGTCGCTCGACACGCGGAAAGATTGAAAAACAGACTCGATGAAAATACCGATGTTATTCGAAATCCAACGCTCGAGCGGGAGTTGTAAAAACACAAATTTCCAAACAATCCCGTTAATGGTCGCTCCGCAGGATCTCGTAAGAATCCGATTAACTCGCAACATGCGCGCGAAATTCGCACGACGTCCGAGGGACAATGCGAGAGGAGGATTAGAAATAAATCGGAGCACAAATAAATCGATACATTCGTCGAAAAATGGTGGTGCGAGAACGGAAGAGAGGCCGAAAAGGTCAGAGAGAGAGAGAGAAAGAGAGAAACGATACAACCGGGTTGAAAACGGCGATGCATGCTCCTATTGTGCAAGCCGTCGCGCATATAAATCAGCATAAATTGCGATGCGGGGATTCCGTAGTCGGTATGCGTCGTCTGCGTTTCGTACGTACGCGTTTAGCAGTGGCACAGGTGCGATACTCATGCGGGATGCTGGTCGCGCGCGCGACTAGAAGCGTAACAGGAAGGCAGCCTCGTCGGTTGGTTGGTAATGACGAGATAATTTGCAGGATTTCACATCGAGGTAGATAAATGTCCGCGCAAATTCTCTCTGTCACAGCTCTTTCTCGTTTCTTTTTATTTGCCTCCTTATTGTTGATCCCTGATTACAGACGGATAAAATTTCGACATAAATCTCTCTCTCTCTCTCTCTATTTTTCTCTCGGTGTTGGATAAGTAACATTGACCGATACAGAGGCGGGAATGAGCGCGTGGCAATAATGCGGTTCCGTCGTTAATAACGTCGAAATTCATTCATTATCGCGCACTATACAAAATATAACATACGCGTCTCTAATTTAACATCGAAAAGAGAATCGGGGAGTCAGCGTTTCGCTGCGTATGCGCCTCGTGTTTACTATTATTCATATATGAACGTCATACGTAACGGATCACTTTTTTCTCGCGGAGCTCTCTCTCTCTCTCTCTCTCTTTCTCGTTAAACAGCGGCTGAATTTTTACAGTGTTATTTATACTTTGTAAATAGAATGCATAAAACGTGTAAATACATATATACATAGTACATATACATATATATTCATCAGCGATGGCTTATAACGCGCGCGTCATTCGAGACGGAGCGCCCTCGCGAAGTTGCACTCACTCCGCGACACGTCAGAAAGTGCAAGTTGTAATTCGGAAGAGGTTTCGAGTATCTCATACCTGGGAGATGTGATAGATCGATCATGAATAATGTCAACAGCCGGTGTGTGCGGAGTTGTCGCGAAAATGTTTCTCCACCGGCGTACCTAACTCGTGGGACGTGGCGGCAGGCAGTGCGGTATTGCGGTTTTCAACGTCGCGACTATATCAGCCTTTACGGACTTTCGTTTAACTTGGCGGCTTTGGAGCGGCTTTGCCGCCACGTCGTAAGATACTTTCATCCTCCGTCGCGTTTTCTCAATGGCTGAAACCGCGCGGACTTTTCATATCTCGGATTTCTGTGTCGCGGCAGATCCAGGATCGTCCACGCGAGATCTCTCGCCTACGGGATAACCGGTCGCTCGTATATTTCCGTTCAGTCCATCCAATATCGTGATTCCGATAAAAATCTTGACGATCCAGCCGTGCTCGCGGGCCAGATATTTTTCTTTTTTTTCCCTTCTTTCTTTCTTTCTTTTCGCTCGACGTTCGTCTGACGGGCGAGAGCAGCAACGTGGTCGTTGGGAA